GGCACCATAACCATTATGCTATGGGCTCTGAGCCATCGCCTCTTACATCTTAAAACATTGTTGCCTGGCAATTTTACACAGGAACTATTCATGTTATGAGGTAACTCCTGACCTGTCAACAAAGTGTTAAAATAGAGACAGAATCCCTGTCTCTAAAATAGGGTCTTGCTGTGTTGCTTAGGCTAGAGTGTTTTGGCATCTTCATAGCTCACTGCAATGGCAAACTCATGGGCTCAAGTGATCATCCTGCCTTCCAAGTAGCTGGGACTATAGATGCCTACCATAGTCTAGCTAATTTTTCTATTTTTTGTAGATACAGGGTCTTCCTCCTGCTCAAGCTGGTCTCAACACTCCTGAAGTCAAGGGATCCTCCCACCTCAGCCTCCCCAAATGCTGGGATTATAGGCGTGAGCCAACATGCCCAGCCAGGATGTCCTTTTATTTTATTTATTTATCTATTTGTTTTGTTTTGTTTTGTTTTTGGAGACAGAGTCTCACTTTGTTGCCCTCAGCAGAGTGCCCTGATATCATAGCTAATAGCAACATCAAACCCTTGGGCTCAAGCGATTCTCTTGTCTCAGCCTCCTAAGTAGCTGGGAATACAGGCACCGGCCACATGCCTGGCTATTTTTTTTTTATTTATTATTATTATTTTTGAGACAGAGTTTCACTTTGTTGCCCTCTGCAGAGTGCTGTGGTTTCACAGCTCACAGCAACCTCAAAGTCTTTAGCTCAAGCAATTCTCTTGCCTCAGCCTCGCAAGACTGAGGTTACAGGCACCCACCACAACACCCAGCTATTATTTTCTTGTTGTTATTGTTATATAGCAGGCCCAGGTCAGGTTCCAACCCACCAGCCCTGATGTATGTAGCTGGCGTCATAACCACTGAACTATGGGCGCCGAGCCAAGCCTGGCTATTTTTATTTTTTATTTATTTGATTTTTTTTTTCCAGTTTTTTGGCCGAGGCTGGGTTTGAACCAACCACATCTGGCATATGGGGCTGGTGTCCTACTCCTTTGAGCCACAGCACTGCCCCTGGCTCTTTTTAAAGACAGGGTCTCACTCTGGCTCAGGCTGGTCTTGAGCCTGTGAGCTCAGGCAATCCACCCACCTTGACCTCCCAGAGTGCTAGGATTACAGGTGTGAGCCACTGCAATGGCCAATTTTTTTTTTTTTTTGAGACAGTGTCTCACTTTTTTACCCCCTCCCCTCTGTAGAGTTCTGTGGTATTATAGCTCACAGCAACCTCATACTCTTGGGCTCAAGCGATTCTCTTGCCTCCGCCTCCCAAGAAGCTGAGACTACAGTTGCCCGCCACAACACCTGGCTATTTTTTTAGAAATGGGGTCTCCCTCTGGCTCAGGCTGGTCTCGAACTCAAAAGCTCCAGTGATCTGTGTGCCTTGGCCTCCCAGAGTGCTAGGATTACAGGCAAGAGCCACCTCGACTGGCCCAGGATATCCTTTTAATATCCACCCGCCAGACTGTGAACTGAGAATGTGGGCAGTGTTGGGCCACACACCCCTGCCTATTCTCATTATTTCAGGGATCAGAAATCTCTCCTCAGAAAGGGTGGAGGTTAGCTCTTGGGATGCTCAGTAACATTTCTCATTGGAACAGGGATTTAGTAGAGCACTGGGTGGAATTCAGAGTAGTGGTCAACTTGTTCCCTCCTTGGTGTTTGGGTAACAGTCCTCATGGTGACTGCAGGTACAGAGTTATGGCTTTATGGCCACTGAGTACAAGTAGAATTAGGGTAAACTGAGGACTCACCTCTGCCGAGGAGGGACATTGGCCCTAGGAGAATATGGGGTGAACGGGACTGGCTTTTCTGTGGATTTTGCCTTGCAGATTTTCCCCAGGATGAGCTTCCAGATACCTCCCAGACTCCTGGAACTGGCAGGGCAGAGCCTGCTGAGGGATGAGGCTTTGGCCATCCCTGCTCTGGAGGAGCTGCCAAGGGAGCTCTTCCCACCACTGTTCATGGAGGCCTTCACTGGGGGATACAGCAAAACCCTGACGGCGATGGTGCAGGCCTGGCCCTTTACCTGCCTCCCTCTGGGATCTCTGATGCATACACCTGACCTGGAGACCTTAAGAGCTGTGCTGGATGGGCTTGATTTGCTGCTTGCCCAGAAGGTTCACTCCAGTAGGTGGAAGCTGCAAGTGCTGGATTTACGGGATGTTGATGGGAACTTCTGGAGCATATGGTCTGGGTGGCCTGTGAGATTCCCAGAGGCTTGGAGTCAGAGGCAAACAGTGGAGGACTGTCCAGGGGTGGGCAGGCAGCAGTCACTGAAGGTGTTCATAGAGGGCCTTTGCACTAAGGACTGGAAGCTAAATGAGTGTCTCGCCTATGTCTTTAAATGGGCCCAGCAGAGGAAAGACTTACTACACCTGTGCTGTAAGAGTGTGGTGATTTATGAGATGCCCATCTACACTCTCAGAAAGTTCCTAGAAAGGCTGGACCTGAACTGTATCCAGGACGTGACAATGTGTAACCACTGGGGACTATACCAACTAATTGGGTTTGTCCCTTACCTGGCCCAAATGAAGAGTCTTCGTAAACTCCACTTCACTTGGCCAAGGACTGATAAAGTTATTGCCGAATTTACCTCTATGTCCCTCAGCTTCCGGCCGCTTATGTATATTGACCCCATCCTCATGAATCACCTGTATCGGTTAATCAGTTGCCTTGTGACCCCGTTGGAGTCCCTTGCCATAACAGGGTACTGGTTTTCAGAGCCAGAAATGGAGGATGTGTTCATGTGTCCGAGCATGAGGCAGCTAAGGGAGCTGAACCTGACTGGGGTCACACTGCGTGGTCTCAACCCTGAGCCCCTCAAACTACTACTAGAGAACATCGCGGCCACCCTGCAGATTCTGCTCTTAAAGGACTGTTGGGTCACAGATGCCCAGCTCAGTGTCATCCTGCCTGCCTTGAGCCATTGCCACCAGCTCGAAATCTTCGACTTCCGTGGGAACCAAATCTCCAGGGTTTCCTTGGAGAACCTGCTGCGCCACACCACCGGGCTGTGCGAGTTAAGCCTGGAGATCTATCCCGTCCCTCGGGAGTGTTATAGTTATGATTTTAAAGATATATACTGGCAGAGATTTCTCCAGCTTAGGGCTGAGCTGATAGAGATACTGAGGGACTTACGGCAGCCCAAGAGGATCATATTCACCACCATCCCTTGCTCTTACTGTGGTAGGAGGGCATTCTATGACCTAGAGCCCAGTGCATGCAACTGTGGGGTATTTTAAAGTTATATGAGGGGATGGTGGTAAAGGATGAGTCAGAAATAAAGGGAATGTCAATGCGAAAACAATTTTTTTTCATCAGTGGTTATGTTCAATGGGAAATTTTTTTTTTTTTTTGGATAGGGAATAGGATCTTGCTATTTTGCCCAGGCTGGTCCACTTAACTATTGATCAACTAATAGAAACTTGTTGCAGCCTTTTTGTTCTTGTTATAGTGAGTATTAACTGTTTGTGCATAACATTCTAACTTTTTAAAATATTGTCTTAGGATATATTCTAAATAAAGTGAAACTCCTGGGTCAAAGTGGATGAACACTGTAAGACTCTTGATTTTCAGAAAGATTGTACAAATAACTACCAGTGATATCTGAGAATGCCAGTCTGAAGACATTCTTAAGTAAGTCACCTCTCCCCCTGCACCCCCCTAAATAAATTTTGTTCATTAGTAATAGATTGCCTTTCTGGGCTATTAAAAGAGGAAAGAAGATATCCTCTGAGATCTCCAGAATGTTGTGTTAGAGTTCAATCTATCTTTGGCTGGAGAACACTCAAGAGTCTGGCTGAGGAGAAGCTCTGGCAAGTACCAGGAGGGTAGAATATTTGTTTTTGTTTTTGTTTTTGAGACAGAGTCTCAAGCTGTCATCTTGTGTGGAGTGCTGTGGCATCATCATAACTCACAGCAACCTTGGGCTGAACAAACAGCCTTTACGTCACCCCTTCTGTCATGATGCAGCCCCAGGTGGCTGATTCGGCATTGAGAGGGAATTTTTTTTTTCTTTTGAGACAGAGCCTCAAGCTGTCCCCCTGGGTAGAGTGCTGTGGCATCACAGCTCACAGCAACTTCCAACTCCTGGGCTCAAGTGATTCTCCTGCCTCCGCTTCCCAAGTAGCTGGGATTACAGGCACCCGCCACAACGCCTGGCTATTATTTGGTTGCAGCCGTCATTGTTGTTTGGTGGGCCGGGCTAGATCCGAACCCGCCAGCTCAGGTGTACATGGCTGACGCCTTAGCTGCTTCAGCCACAGGCGCCGAGCCTTTTTTTGAGACAGAGTCTCACTATGATAACCTTGGTAGAGAGCTGTGGTATCACAGCTCACAGCAACCTGTAGCTCTTGGACTTAGGTGATTCTCTTGCCTTAGCCTCCCAAGTAGTTGGGACTACAGGCGCCTGCCACAATGCCCAGCTATTTTTTGGTTGTAGTTGTCATTGTTGTTTCGCAGGCCTGGCTGGGTTAGAACCCACCAACCTTGGTGTGTGTGGCTGGCACCCTAGCCACTGAGCCACAGACATCGAGCCGAGAGGGGAATATTTTTTATTATAGTCAAAGGATTTGCTTCCCACTGCCTTCTGGCTACTTAACTAGATAATTAGGTCAAGAAGAAGAAGAAAAAAGAATCTATAAATTTGTTTGGTATGCCTTGTTTTATAGAAATGAGTGTTGTTACTCTTTCTCTGAAATCCTTGGGGGTTTTAATTGGTGTCTCTTGAGCTCACATCCAGACCACTGGAATTAAATTTCTCTCACCCAGGGATAACAATTCATCTGTCATTAAGATAACAGTACATTTCCAAGCCTGCTTGTTTCTGGGTGAAGGGAAGGTGATCTTGAGTCACAAGTGCTATGAAGAATGTTGGCCATGTGCCCTAGAAAGGAAGATCCCCAGCTGCAGTGGTCAGTCATTCTAATGCTGTTCATGTTCAGCACAGGTGGAAACATCTCGTGGTACCCCAGTATCAGGAGCAGTGTCAACTCAGCTGCTTATTATTTGGTCAATTTTATTAACATCATGAAGACAGAGTTTTAATAGAGCAAGCATAAAACAAAGTAAAGCAAATCAAGGCCGGGCGTGTCGGCTCATGCCTGTAATCCTAGAACTTTGGGAGGCTAAGGCAGGTAGATTGCTTGAGCTCAGGAGTTGGAGGCCAGCCTGAGCAAGAGTAAGACCCCATCTCTAC